ATAATTTTTGCAAGGAATCTTTGGAATAAATCAAAAATAAATGATGCTCTTGTGCATTTTCAGCCGATTAAATTATTCGTAGATGCATCAAATGTGGGAATAAGGGCCATGATATGTCATGTTTTTGAAAAAAAAAAAAAAAATATTGAGATATCTATAGTTTCTGCTTCGCGTACCTTATCAAAGTCCGAACAAAAATATTCCCAAATTGAAAGAGAGATCCTTGCAATAATTTTTGGCTTAAATAAATTTAATAAATATTTATATGGACATTTGCATAAAGTAGAACATTATGCAACTAATTACGAAAAGTTGATTATGTCACCAGTTACGAAATGAAAATAAATAAAACTGCCTCTTTTTTGGTTTCTAAGTGGAAAAATCGTAAAATCGAGAAATTGAGATACCGAGAAATCGAGAAATCGAGTAATCGAGTAATCGAAAAATCTAAAAATAAAAAATTGAAAAATCCAAAAATCCAAAAAACGAAAAATCGAAAACATCAAATATCGAAAAAGAGGCAATGAATAGTGACATTTCACATTTGAAAATATGACATTACGTTTAAAAACAAAAAAAGAGAAGCTGTAAATTGCGTTTAATTTTTAAAATAACACCGTTATTGAAAACTGCCCAGAAATATTGGGGGTAAAATTTTGACGTACTTCTTTAAGGATAATGGGTAAAAATGTTTTTTTTTTCAAATTTCTCGCGGGTAATGTCAAAAATTAGATCGGCAATACTGCACATGTCCCTTATTTTCATTATTACTATTGAAAAAAAAAACGTCGTAGGGCAATCAAATACAACAATTTTCTAAAATATTTGATTGGAAGTACCTACACAAGAATGATGGTGAATCATTTTTCAACACAATTTTATAAATAATCACGTCAAAATTAGAAAAAATCTTGTATATAAACACGTTACGAAATGCCGTTTTGTGTAAGTCGTTCATGTTGCGGGAACTCGCTCCGCTCGTTTTGCAAATATTTACTCGTTACACAAAATAAGGCATTTCGTAACTGGTTACATAAATAACTATTAATTGACTTTCTAATATTTTAATTCATTGGACGGTATTTTCCGTAAATAATTAAATCATAAATAAGTACCAGGATATAAGTACCAAAACATTTTTTTCTCTTAGAACAGTAGGCCTATGTCAAATAAACTTAAAATATTATAACGAACGAAAAGGTAACCCATTTCTAATAAAATTTAGTTATTTATTTTATTTTGGTGTGATCGTAGAAAAAATCTTGTGTGTAATTCGAGCAAAAAGTACTTATAAACTTTTACATTTTTATATTAACAAAAACGAAGTTTAAATTACTAAATGGAGTTTAAAATGACATTTTTATATTAACAATGTCATTTTAATCTTCGTTTAATAATTTAAACTTCGTTTGACACAACGGTGGAATCGGCCCTTAGCTAGTTATATATTGATAAAGTGTTATTGCCCTCATCATATATAAATCGTGCTAACAAATAAAAGTCAAACAAACGTCTCATAATTTTTCATCTTTTAATTACCCACCAAAATTAGGTACTACAATACAAATATTTAAGTCCGGCCCAGAACACCTCCCTACTCCTTCCACCCAGTTTTTCGGTTTTGGCAAAATTCGCGCAGCGAGAAATGCTTCCTATGTTACCTCTACCCTTTCTAACCTCTTTGATTACGATACAGATTTTTAATCAATAGAAACCTACAATTTTTCAATCAAGCATGCTGTTTGACGTTTGTCCTAGGTTCCTATGTAATTATTTTAGTTGTCAAAACGTATTAAATTTTCGTAGGTAGCTAAACTTCGATAATTATAATATTAAAATGTCTGATATTAGCGATATAGAAGACTCCTCCACACATATCGGAGAAAGCAGAAAATACAGTACAAAATATTTTACCGCAAAAATCTAGGGAAATACCAATACCTGAAGTAATACCATTAATTACAATTTTGTAGAATTTTTTATAGAAATACGAGTAATTACTGTTATTGTGTTCAATACCAATATAAATATAATATTTATAGGTCTTGATTATTTATCGGGTGTAGAAAAAATAGCGTATGCAACTCTCATGTAATGGTTATTAAAACACTCGCATAAACCATACGAAACTCGCCTTTGGCTCGTTTCGTATCCCGGTTAATGCTCGTGTATTAATAACCATCATTACATGATCGTTGCATAATATACTATTAATAATGTATTTTACATGATAATGATAAATGCAAAGTTAACAGTTTTATATTTTAATAGAATCAACATTCTTATATAACTGGGGCGACTTAAAGATGATCGATGGCACCATTTGGCTTACAGGTGAGGAAAACTCCACCTACCATCATCGAAATGGTAATGAATGATGATTTTTATAATCTGGATGTCATATCCAAAGTATATTAACCGTTGAGTAGCGACATAAAGCGTCGGTGTCTTTGATCTTGGGTGGTGCAAGTTTTCTTTCTCTCTCGTTTGACGTTATTGACGGAAGGACACACTAAAACACTGCTCGAATTATGAACTGGTCTTGAATGTGATGTTTACACTGCTCGACGTAATTTGAAGTAAAACTCTTTTGTAGTTTACATTTATAATAAAGGTTTGGTCATTAGGCAGTTTTATATTTATGAGTATTTAACTTATGTAGTAAATATAAAAATATATATCACTATTAATAAATTTCAATTTTTTTACCTACGTCCGGATGAGCTAGAGACTTGAAAGTTGGTAGGTGCACAGGGTTTTGAGTTTTGATAAAAATAGAAATTATTACTTATGGACCTTCTTATATATTAATCGAGTTGTCTCAAACTTTAAATTTCGCGTTGTTTAAACATGTCGCTGAATACATTTTTTGACTAATAATGTGCTCTGTTACTCAAAACTTTTAATTCACGTTTAAAGTGTTTGACAAAGGTATCTGATTTGACAAGTTATTCATACAACAATATGGAAGTCAGTGTCAAATCTGATGACATTCCGTCTATCATTCTAATTTTTGATAAATCTTACTGTAAACTATGAAAGCGTAGAAGAATCACAGTGAAAAAAATATATAATTGACACTTGACAGTGATATCTGTCAATTAGTGCTAATTTTCACTTACATCTGTCAATTAGGTCTAATTACCAGTTCTAGCTGTCAATTACTACTAATTGGCCTTAGGTATATCTGTCAATTAGGCCTGATTCCCAGTTCTGGCTGTCGATTAATGCTAATTGACACTTAGACCTAATTGATAGATGTAAATGTTAATTAGCATTAACTTAACAGACAGAACTAGGAATTAGCCTAATTGACAGGTGTAAATGTCAATTAGCAGTAGCACTAATGGAAGATATAACTGTCTTTTTTTTCACCGTGGCCTTCTACGCTTTCGTAGTTAACAGCAAAATAGGGGACAATCTTACTATTCTTATACTTATGAAAAGATTTACTTAAGCTTGGGGGTTGTTGAGTTGAGGTCGCTAAGGACCGATTCCACCATTGTGTTAAACGAAGTTTAAAATGAAATTTTTACATTAACAATGTCATTTTAATCTCCGTTTAACACAACGGTGGAATCGGGCCTAATTGTGATTTCTGACAAAAAATCAAGGAAATCAAAATAACGGTTTTTTCCGTTTAAGAACCGATTTGTCTCAAACTAGAAACTTGGTGGTCTTAATACAATTTTTGATCTAAACATAAAAATATCAAAATGGCGGATTTTCCTAATGAACCGATTGTCCTAAACTTGGGGATGTTTAAGGCTGCCAAATATGAGTTTTAACCTAAATTTAACAAATATAAAGTTGGCAGACTTTTGTATTGATGAGCCGATTTGTTTCAAACTTGGATTTGGTATGTTTGAGGTCACTGACTGTGATTTGAGGAATTGAATTGCGAAAAGTTATCAGAAAAAAAGTCTTGTAATAATTACGCATAAATGATAATACTGTAATAATGTTGCTATTCAAGTTATCAATAAATTTAATAGACATTAAGGTAAATGATTTTATTAGTCAGCAGATCAACAAAATTGCACTAAAAAGTAAATTGAATGGACAGGTCTTTATTTAATTAAACAAAAAGAATTAGTTCTTTTGTTAATGGCACATATATCTTTGAGATAGTGCAAAGATGATGGTTTGGTTTAAATCAGGCAAGATTACTGGGTACCTACTTGAGTGCGTTAATTCGATTACGAATATTTTTTTAGCAGTTATTTGTCAGGTTTACATAATGTTCACTTATTTTTCCATGTTGAGTGTTCTGACGACCTTAATAAAATCGTTTATTTTAGAAGATTTTAATTATTTAATTTATTTGGTTCTAATTACATATCCCCGAAAAATTAATGAATTTTGGCATAATGAAAAACCCACAAAAACAATAAAAGAGCACAACGAATTCCTATATCAGCTGCCGGACTAAAGTGAAAGGGGTGTTTACATCTTTAGAAGACGTCTCGCCTCTCTATTTCGCGTCGGCGCACTAGAATTCGGTTCCCCAGCTGTCGCTACTCAACGGTTAATATACTTTGGTCATATCAACAGAAATTAAATGTTTGCAAATACAGCATCCAACAAATCCTATAGAGAACCATAAAGATAGCAATAAATGTCAATTAAATAGACACGAAAAAGGTAATTTACATAATATAAAACTCGAGCAACCTTTTCCCATGAAAAAACAACAAAGATGGAAAAAAAAAATTACATTCTACCTTTGATTTTGCTAACAATTTTTTTATCGTCTTTTAGTTTCTCAACCTTGTATTTGAAAAAGTGCAAGTTTCAAGAAGAGATAAAAGAGTACCAGACATTCTGATTTCTTTTAGATATGTATATTCAAATTATAAGTACATTCTTTTATCTTACCAAATCACAATGCAGGCAATGACTTACTAGATGAAATAGAAGAATTTTTTTTAGTTACGAAGTTTAGAAAGCAAAGCAGCGATATTTTTGGAAATTTGATTTCATCCAGTTATTATATTTTTGTATATCTTATATCTCCTAATTTATTTCCTCAAAATTCCAGTCCATTGACAATACTGAAACTGGTTCAGAAGCTATACATTTTAGCCAAAGGTCAACAACTGACACTGGGATTGACAAACTACTTTGAATTACTGTTTCTGATAATATAATTATATCTAAATTCTCACTTGTGATTTCAACATAATTCATCAAAATGTTTTCTTATTCTTTTCTTTATTAAAGGTGGAAACTTAAAAATGAAATAAAAAATTAAAAACGTTTCAACTTTTATTGTTCACTCCTATAAAAACATTTTATTTAGCTTTCTTAGATTTAATTTTACGCATGTAGAATTCAAGTTCTTTTCCTTCCAATACATAACCATCGGCCCTGCCGCACTGTCCAGGCCTTGAAGCTAAGCAAGCTAGAAAATAAAACAAACATTTAGAACATGTTCAGAAATATTATCAAACATTTTCTAGGCATGGGAAAAATCAGAGTAACTATGACAAGCAAATCATAATCCACAAGGAATATTCAAGACAAATATTCCTTAAAACGTGAACTCGCTAAGTGTTATCATCATTTCATATTATTTCTACAAAATAAACTTTTACTGACACTACTGTTGTTTTTTAAGCCTGTAACTTCTTTTTAGTGTAAATTTCAAATAAGTGCAACTGCAATGCACAGCAATTTTTAAATATGAATAACATTTAGTAAAATACAAACAGTACAATTCCAGATAAAAATAATCTTTTTTAATTCCGAAAAAATATGAAAATTTAAAAAAAAATGCATCTATTTATTTTAAATTCATTTTATTTATTATAATATCACCCCTAGAGTTAGGTAATTCGTTTTTCTTTTTGACATAAAATTTGTACTATCATAACTTCAGAAAAAAATTGTAAGTAGATAATTTTATCTTTAATAATAATAATAAAAATATTATTGTATTCTAATATTTTTTGAACCTAATATTATTATACCTTTATCATCCTATAAAACTGTAAATGAAATCACAATGTTTTTCAATTCTACAAAACATCCTTAAAACACCTTAAAAATATAAAAACAAATCTAGAACCAGCTACATCTTGACTGAACGTCCATAGTCAATTGCATACAGTTTAACATTATAAAACTGTTTATGAAAAAATCATTGTCATCTCGCAAAGATTTCCTCATTACATAAAATAAGGCATTTCATAATTGGTTGCATAAATAGCTATTTTTTCTACTTTTTAGTTAACTCATGTTACTTTTGTGTTTTTTTGAGTCTGCTATTACATAATTTGAGAATTCCATTTTTTCAATGTGATGCAAAAAATTAAAATAAGTACCTATCTATCTTAATTTTAAAAAATATTTGCTAAAATTTATTTCCAGTCCATAAATTAACATGTGCTTATTTTATTTCACTCAAACTAAATTTATGTGTAGTGACTATATAATTTTTATTTTAAAAGAAGTATGTATTAGGACTTCAGATATATTATTAAATACATAGTTACTATTTCTTCGCATAGTCAGCCACTGAAAAAGTGTACTAATGGAAGAAGAATAGGGGATGACAGGGCTTATATATTTATTTCATATATTGCATTTCTAGATAATTGTCAGTAAAAAAGAAAATGGAACACTTCCGCATAGTAATTAATCTTGCAACTTACCCAGTAACCTTCCAGTATGGAACTGTTCTTCAATTGCAGGTTCTACTTTAGCTGTTTTTTGCCTAGTCTCATATTTTTTCTGTACTTTTTTGCTACGTTTCTTGTTGAACATCTCTTCTTCTTCGGGAGTCTAAAAAACATGCAATTAAAACTATACTAACTCAAACAACATAAATGTTTTTTAATAACATTAAATTTAGGTTAACTAAGCATACTATAATATCAAACATTGGCAATAATACAATATTTACTATCACAATTTGATTCCAGCATAGAATCATTCAAAATTAAAAAAATAACTACATAATATAAATAGGTATAAATTTTAAATAAACACATTACTTTTAATTACATCTTTATTAATTAAATGGAGTGTATTTGTTAATTTGTCACCTTTATATATTTTGTATTTTTTAGTTGTATCAAATTATGAATCTGTTCAATAAATGTTTACTTATATTATAGAATGCTGAATAAATCCTACCAAAATCAGTAAAATGGCCTAGAATTGTAATCATAATTTTCAGATGACACGCATAAATAACATCATTTTTTAAAATAAAATTAGGTATATGAAGGTTTGGTAAATGTCTAGACTGAGCCTTTAAAAAACATGCTGCTTAGGGTTATGGAAAACACCATAAAAAATTTCTATTCGTAAGTTCTTTCCATGGCACCAACTCCTTTCTTAATTTTCAGATGACACTAATAAATAATATCATTTTTTAAAATAAAATTAGGTATATGAAGGTTTGGTAAATGTCTAGATTGAGCCTTTAAAAAACACGCTGCTTAGAGTTATGGAAAACACCATAAAAAATTTCGATTCATAAGTTCTTTCCATGGCATCAACTCATTTCTTAATTTTTAATTTCACTATGATTGAAACATCATTCATTAATTTAAATTAAATCAAAGGGCCTCATGATTGTGAAAACTAAGTATATCATGTACCAGTTGTCAGCCACAAAACCATTCTTGTTAAAATAAGATGAATATGTCTCATAATATATATGTATTCAATCAATATATGTTTATTGTCAAAGCTACAAGAACTTATAGACAAACACTTATAAATTATAATTATTATGTAGTACTAACAATTGCATGCATAAAAATTGTATAAAAACGTTAAATATAAAATTAGAGGTTAATTACAAATACAAATATGTAACACAACATTGATAAAATTATAAAAATACAAAAACAAGTATTTTCAGTCACAATTATTTAAGTCATTGTAAAATTCCGTCAAAGCATAATATGCTTTTGTCATCAAGATATCTCTAAGCAGTATTTTAAATGTTGTGACCGTTTCCGTCGATTTAATATCATTTGGCAACTTATTGTACATTTTAATCCCATTATAAATGAAAGAGCCCCTTACCAGTTCAGATTTGTCGCGTTAGTATTGGCATAGTTCGATTTATTTTTATGTATAATACAAGTGGTTTCAAGAATGAACAACGATGTTAATGTTAAAATTTCATGTCTAATAAAATGTGGCTGACATGACTCAAGCTTGTTCATTCCACATAAAAATCGTATTGCTCTCTTTTGCAGACAAAAAAAAACAGTATTGAATAATTCGCGGCTGCAACCTCCCCAAAATGCAATTCCATATCTCAAATGGGACTCAACTAGGGCGTAATACACACTTTTTGCTGCCTTAAAACCTAGTTCTTTTGCCACAGTTCTGACTGCAAAACATCCAGAAGAAAGTTTTCTGTTTAGCAATTCTATATGGTTTCTAAATTTCAAATTATTATCTAAATTAATTCCCAGAAATTTTATTGTGTCAGTACATTCAATAATATGACTTCCCAACTGAATATTTGGTAGGGAACATTTAAGGGTTAGCATTTTAGTTTTTCCCATATTAAGAAGTAAATAGTTGGCATCGCACCATGCTTTGATTTTCTTAATGTCACAGGATATGGTTTTGTATAGGACAGAAGTGTCATTGCTGTGCCATAAAATCGTAGTATCATCAGCAAATATTTATTTTTAAATTCATTAATAATATTCCAAGTTTCTTTAACTTTATTACTAGATTTTTCAATTCTAGAATAATAGTATATGTCCTTAGCTTTTTTAATAACAGCCCTATATATTTTCCTGTAATAGATTAAAAAGAATTCATCTTGGACATATTTTTTAATGTAATGGAGGGATCGCATATTTTTTGCTGAACACCTTATGTCTGAGGTCATCCAAGTTTTTTTTTTTTATTTTATTATTATTAAGTTCCATTTTTTAAATTGGATTTACTTTCTTCGGCAAAGACCTTCGTATTTAATGTGACTTAAGATTTCCTAAATCTATAATAATAATAATTAATGTCAAACTAATTAGAAATATGCATAGATAATCTCCCATAATATATGAAGACAAGTCTCCACATATCAGCAGTAATGTTTAGTGGTTGATAATAAAGGGTTAAACTTTGAAGGCAAGTATATCTTGTTTTATATATCGTTGGGTAATTTTGTAGTTAAAGGGTCTGGAAATGCACCTGTGCACACCATTCCTGTTTCAGCTAGTTTTGTCAGTTGGAATTATTACATAGTTGACAGGTTATATTTAATTATTTGAAACCAGGGAATAAGCAGATTGAAATAGAAATAGAATTTATTCATCTTTGAGAATTATACACTATACAAAGACACTAGGTACATAATGTAAAATCCTATCAGACTAGTCAAAAAAGTGTTAAGTAAACTACATTAAAAAATAAAATATATATAATAGACAATTCATGTTAAGATTAGTTTAAAAGATCAAAAAATCTTCTCTATGCTCTTTCAAAGTATGGTGAAGAACCCCAAAATATTAACCCATATTGTAGAGTTGAATGAACTGAACCAAACCAAAATAGCATAGTTTTACAGTATCAAAAGATAGTGTCTCCCTTAAATGTTTGATGATAACAAGTACTTAATTTTGAAGTTACCATTTTTATATGAGCTTCCCAATTTAATTTGGGATCTAATATTATTCCTAAAAATTTTATGTCATCAACACTTTGAATAGTTTTTCCATCAATGAGCAAGTAGGGTTCATAATCTGGTAATGTTTTTGGGTAGAAATTGCATGAAGTTTGTTTTTGTTATGTTTAATGCCAGACCGTTATCTTTACAATACTGGTTAAACTCATGAGATGCCTCATTGCTACTTTGAGTGACCTGTTCAATTTGACCATCTACCATTTCAATATTGGTATCATAGGCATATTGAACTATTTGTTGAGAGCTTAAACAAAAATTACTTATATCACTTATAAAAACTATAAAAAGAAGTGGGCCCAAAATTAAACCTTGAGGAACTCCTATTGTACATGGAAGAGGATCAGATTTGAGACTATTTTTTACAATTACTTGAGTTCAATTTATTAAGTAACACTATCCATTCATAAGGTTTCCCTCATATTCCTAACCCATTCATCTTCAATAATAAAAGATTATGTCCCAAAATATGTTTTTTATCATTGAGTGCTTGATATATAAACTCTAGGCAAGCTGCAATTGCAGTAGATGTTGACTTATTTTTTCTAAATCCATTTTGAGTATCTGGCAACATATTAAAACTTTCAAGGTAATTAGTGAGTCTAATAAAGTATCATTGATGGATTTAAGTGTGGACAACTACTTAGATTATAACAAAATTTATTTAAAATTCTAATAGTAGGCCAGTTTGTTTACTGTTTTTTTTTCTCTCAATTTTAACCCCTGTTCTAATTTATGAATGCCAAAAAACAAAGAAAACTTCGGATATCCAAAGAAAAAATGAAAAATATTAAAAAATGGAAATGTATTTAGCATGAAATTTGCTATAACAGGCTACTAATAAATCTTGAATATTGCATTAAATTTTCATATTTATGGTCTAAAATTTAGTCATATTGGTGTTGTTATCACATGATAAAATAGCCAGTATAAATAAGGTACCTTTTTACACAACCTTATTTTTAACTTCTGTAACACTTCAAAAGTTAAAGTGTCAGATACCAGAGAATTACTAAAATATTTTAGGGGTGTTTTAAGAAAAACATGCAAATCTAAAAAGGCTCAACTATACATTTTACTGAAAGTTTTAGTTTAGTACTTACCATTTTTGCACCCTTCTTGCGTCCCAAGGGTAAGATATAATGACTTTCATACCACTGCCTGAATGGAGCACCATCAACGACAACGATGGCGTTTTTTACCAAAGTCTTGGTACGAACCAACTCATTATTACTAGCGTTGTAAACGACGTCAATGATACGTGTCTTACGAGCAGTACCTTCACTACCCCATGCAAAGTTACCAGTGTCCAATCTTAGGGCACGGTACTTCAAATTACCCCCTCGTGTACGAACATAGTGTATTCTGCGAGGACCTAGTTTTGTGTTTGCAGCTGGACGACCTAATTCGAACTTCCTCTTCTTGCGGAGAGGCTTCCTCTTTCCTCCGGTCGCCCTCCTTTTATGCCAATGATCTCGGCTAATACCTGAAATATTTTTGAAATATTAACACAACTTATTAAATATTTGGACGGAGCAGATATGTTATTTTAATATCAGATCGCTGTGGGATGTTTTTGCGTCGTCAGCACAACACATCGGACAAAAAATAAACATGTATCATCATGAAAATGTTTTTGTATGTATTAAAGTTTGGTTATGTTTTTAAAATCACAATTTTTTCAACAAAATTTAAGTTAATATGAAAACTAATGGATAAACTTCTTATATTGATATATCTTGCATCGTATTTAATTAAAAAAAACTTAATACTTACTGCGATGCTTACAGATTAAATGAAAAATAATTTTAACTCTACTTACCCATCGTAAATGAATAAACTAAAAGACTTGAAGGAAGTTGCCGATAGAGTATGTCAACGTCACATATGTCATTTAACACAGAATTTCCGGTATTTCTACCTTACCGATTAAGATGACTAAACATTTCAAAATAAAAAACCCTAGAGTTAAAATATTTTGTGCAATCTTAGTAGAATTTCCATAATAATGAAAGGAATTAAAAGATTTTGGTCCTTAAATGTTTAATTTTGATTACTAAACTAATCTGAGAGGAGAAAATAACAGTAAATAATTAAATCGGTATATAGGGAAATTTGGTCAAATTGCCGTCTTGAAAAAAACACAAATGTCAACAAAAACTAAACTGTCAAATGTCAAATTGTTGTGTCTGAAAATGGCGGATGATTTGGAGGATGATCAATGGCTATATGGCGAAACGCCGGATTTAAATAATGCACCGGAAAGTCAAATCATTGAAAATGAACCTTTACCTACCGAAGAAAATGTACAAGAACCACCTCCAGCTGAGCAGGAAGTAATTTTGCTTTTCTTCGGTTTGTCCAACATAACCTAACAATTTCTTTTAGGTCCAAGATGAGGGTCCTCCCGGTGTAGATACCGAAGAAAAAGAAAATGAAGAGCCAGGTCAAGAGTCAATGGAGGATGGGGAAGTTCAGCAAAATGGAGATGACAGTGAAAGAGAGGATTTAGATGATGATAGTGATGACGACGTCAATGTTGTTATAGGGGATATAAAAACAACTGCACCTACATACACATCTTTAAACATTAAAAGGGGTGGTTTGCTTACTTCTGTTGATAAGAACAAGCAACTACAGCAACAGCAGCCTGGAAAATTTGCAGTAGAAGAATTTGAACAGATTGGTACAATAAATGGGGTTGTAGGCTCTGAATTTAATTTAGATTCTTTAGAAGATAAACCTTGGAAGAAACCCGGTGCTGATATCACTGATTATTTTAATTATGGGTTTAATGAGGATACCTGGAGAGCTTACTGTGAAAGACAAAATAGGTTAAAATACTTGATTATATTTTTTTTGCATTTTGTCCCACTACTACCACACCATGTAAAAAAATATTCTCTGTTTTTTACTAATAAATCTTTATCCATTTATTTCCAATGTGTCCACTGATCTGGGCTAAGTTACAACATGATCAGAATATGTTAAATTCTACCAGACTTCTTAGGTACCTATCTTTGATTTGGCCTTATATCAAAGATAACAAAAGTGGATTCAAATGTAAACCTTCAAGAAAATATAACTTTACTTTGAATTTATTTGTATCTATCGTGGCTCTCGCTGGATTTTTCTTTGTATAAATCCTGAACCATAACTTATTTTGCTGGGATACCCTTCCTATTCAGAGCACACTTAATCACCTCCTTTGAAACTTTGTTTTAAAGTTTTTCTATATCATGAACAATATATGCCTTAGTTTCATTCTGTATTCTTCCATGACTTGTATAACTTTAAGAAATAACCAGAATAATTCATTTGTTCAATTGTTCTAGGATGAGATTAAATGAATCAGGAGCAGGTCTTGTTCCAATGAATGTAATGACTGGGATAACTAGATGTCCTGTGCCTATCATGAATGACAACAGCAAATATGGCAATAAATTCTTAGGTAAATGTGTTTCTTTTTTTTTTTTTTTTTTTGTAATGGGATGGCATCAGGCATGCAAAAATATGTTTCTTATACATATAATAGTTTAAGAACTCTTGATAATAGTTTAAGAACTCTCGGAGCTGCCAAAAAAAGCATGTGAAATGACAAAGGCTAGTCTTTTGATATTTCATTATAGTAGTAGTGTTTTTTTATATGATTTGAATGTTTATAAAACCAAGTCCATCCAAATATTTGAGGTTAATTAGATTTAAAAAAATGTTATGATATCTTTAATATGTCACAATACTCTCACACTCCCGCAACCTCTTCATTTTAAATAGGTAATGTATCATTGAAAAGATAATTTTATAGGAAATTCAGCAATATAGTGAACACATTTGATTTTAGTGTCGTCTAGTGGGATAAAAACTTATGTATTGTAAAGTGTAACTTCAATAAAAAGCTAATTTTATTAATAATTTAATGCATATTACAACAAAATAATTGAATAATTAAATCATTGAAAAACCTTGCCATTAATGTTAAAATTAAATCAATTTAACTTTAATCCCATTTATTTTAAAGATGGTAATTCGAAAGCTCAGAACGTAGCAATTCAATTCAACTTTGAAAAATTTTACATAGTTTTATCTATACAAATTTTTTTATTAGTCTAGTGTCTAGTCAGAGCACAGTCTACATAACCATCCATTTTCCTTACATACATACATAACAATTCTCATGCACTTCTACCTTACATCCTTACATACAGATTCTAGGACATTTAGGATGTAAAATTTATTAAAATTAAACATACATAGAATATAAACTCTACATAGGTAGAGATGTTATATCACATTACAGAATACAAACATTTTATTTCTCTGAATTGAGAAACTGCTCCCGTATGAGTGGATCTTGTTGTTAAGATATAGAGGCAGGGTAGTGTTAAAACTGCCAGTGAGATAAACAGGTTTTTGCATGGTTCCCTAGTCTGTGCACCTGCCATGCTTTTAATTATTTTCTTTTGTATAAAAAACACATTATGCATGTGCGCTGAATTTCCCCAGAATGCTATTCCATATGATAGCTTGGATTGTACCAGGCCAAAGTAGGCTAATTTGAGTACTTGTTGTGTTACAGTTCCTTTGAGATTTCTAATTAGAAAACATAAGCTACTTAGATTTGAGATTAAGTTTTCTGTATGTGCTTCCCATATCAGTTTGTGATCAACAGTTACACTTAGGTATTTAAATTGAATTACCTGTTCTATTGTAGCATGGTTAATTCTGATTAAAGGTGATGCATCATATGTTGCATTTTTAGGCTGAAATAGCATGAATACAGTTTTTTGTTTTTCATTAACCAGGACACTATTATTTCTACACCATGTGTTAAACTCATCAGCAATTTGATTTGCATCAGCCACTGTGTGTTGAAATCGATTGTTGGCTACTACCTGAGTGGTGTCATCAGCTTTCCAGATAATGAGTGATATTAGTAAATTTATTGATTCAGAAGATACATTTGATGTTTGAGAGTAATATTTTATATAAATAAAATTTCTTGCATACTTAAGGTAGATTATCACCAAACAGACACTTGTGGGACTCAGTTTTGTTTGTTAAAACAGGAACAGTAACAAGTTTTTAGTTTCAAAAACAAGATGAAAACCACATGACTTATAAAAACAGTCGTCAGCCAATTTTCCAAAATGTTTTCAGTTTTGGAATCTTGAGTTTCTGTATTGTGAAAATAGACAGTCTCTGTTGTGTCTAGATTTTGTCCATCTGTTCAGAATCTGCCAAATTTTTTGATACTTTCACTTTTACTGACGAGTCCTATCCTATCAATTGGTTTACTACTTTTTTTTATTTTTTATTATATAAACTACATGTAAATTTTTTTCAGGTTTTTTAAATCATTTTTCACTTTTTTTTGTTATATATTTTAGGTTTGCATGTAAATTTTCACCTTTTCTAAACTTATTTTATTATCACAATATTAATGACATGTTTGAAAGTGTACATATATCCTATTAATGGGTTGACTGTTCATGTATAACACTACTATAATAATCATGACAATCAAAGATTAGTATTTGTCATTTCACTGTTTTTTTTTTCAGGAACTCTCTGTTTCTAACCAGTAAAATAATTCAAATTTGTTTTTAACATCTTCTATGCCAGGATAAGTAAAGTTTTTTCAAAAAACATACTTTTCTGTAAGAAGCTGGTACCCAAACAGGTTATTTAGGTCTGCATTTACAAACTGAATTCAAATGATTCTGACAAACATGAGTTCCAGGTGTTGCACTGGAATTTAGAGATTGACGTTAGCAAATTCGTGAATGTAAAGTACATTATTTACAAAATTGTACAGCACATAATTTACGGAGTTGTTAGTGCCCATCTCTAAATTCCCGTGATATAACTGAGCTTTGATTTACATTCAGATGTCAAAAAATCTGAGCAGCCTTTTGTATCGGTGTTGCTCTAATAATTATGATTTTAATCATAGGGTTTTTATGGTGGAAATAACCATCAATTAATTTTAAATTTGGTATCAATCAAGAGCTAAATGCATGTACTGTCTGATGTTGATGATATTTTGATAAATTGAAACTAAAGAAGACCTCAAAACTGCATTTTTAAGTTCTATGTGCTGATTAAGAACAAGTATATCAGATAAAAATAAAATTAAAAAAAAAACACTTGATAAAGTCAATAAATACGTAAATAGGAAGTGTCTACTGCACCATTATAAGTGTGATTAAAATTTAAAAATCTGTGACTGTTTATTTAACTTGAGATGGATGCAAAGACCTGCTCAAAGTGTAAGGACGAAGAAGCTAATCAAGTTTTTCCATGTGATTCATGCAAAGAATACTTATGTGCTCAATGTGCTGACTTAACAGCGTCAGAAATCAAATGTTTACAATTAAAGAATAAACAAAAATTAATTTTTTTGTGCAGTGAATATGAAACAGGTTTTTGGAAAGTTCCAAAACTAACTAAAGAGTTAGTAAAAAGATGGAAGTGGCGGAAAGACAGAAGAGGGCATCAAACATTATTATATTAAATGTAAATGAATCTAAACAAAAAATAGTTGCAAACAAAATAAGAGAAGATAAAGACTCAGTAAAAAAACTGCTAAAAGATATTGATGTTGATATTACAAATATAAGGGTGTTCAGACTGGGCAAAGACCAAAACAAGAAGCTCTTAAGGTGTTAAAAATGAAAAAGGAGATAAAAATTCAACTATTAAAATTTTTCCTGATCAAACAAAAGTGCAAAGAGAGTACTTCTTTAATGTCAAAAGGAAGCTGCAGGAATATTTAGATAACAGTGAAAACAAAACTATAAAATACATAAATAATATTCCAACAATGGTTGATAGCAATGCATCTACCCAAAACAAACAAAAAAAACTAGTAAATGGTCCTAATATATCTTTTAGAAGTGATATAATTTATATGAATGTACAGAGTTTTTTGGCACACCACGATGAAAGTTTTAGTAGAATTTTTTTGCTATCAACCATCTATACATTAAGTGAAGCAAGATGTACAGATGATATCCAAGATGTTGAAATTGCAGTAGATGGATATGTATGTGTAAGATGTAATTCTTCAAATCGACACACGGGACGAGTACTTATTTATCTGTGGAACAACATTACTTGTACAACTTGTACAACATTCCAGTACTGAGAACGCACTATGTAGAGTAACTGAGACAATTTTACGGAAACTGGACCAAGGGAAAAAAGTTATAGGTATCTTTCTTGACCTTCAAAAGGCCTTTGACACTGTGGCACACCAAATTCTACTAAAACGTTTAAACTGTATGGGTATTAGAGGAACACCAAATAACCTAATCAAATCTTATTTAGAAAGAAAGCAATGTACAAAAATCATAAATGAGGTTAGTGAAGAGATGGAAGTAGAATTTGGTGTGCCACAGGGGACAGTCCTTTCAACGTTATTATTTAATATATATATCAATGACATGATGTCAGTTTTGGCTGAGAATGGCGTGGTGATCTGCTTTGCCGATGACTCTGGTATACTGTTTTGGGGTGACGATTGGGAGAGTACAAAGGATCGTGCAGAGAAAGCAATGCAAATAATCAAGAGATGGCTAGACAATAGCCTACTATCCTTAAATGTCAACAAAACAAAATTTGTCACTTTTGCTCTCTCCCCACGCTCACTACCAGAATTTGAAAACCTAAAAATACATAACCATGACTGTGATCTAAACCAGAATTGTGAATGCAATAAATTGATTGAAAGGGTGACATGTATAAAATACTTAGGGGTTCTTGTAGATCAAAATTTTACTTGGAAAGAACATATTACCTATGTGACAAGCAAAATAAGGAAATTAATATATAAATTTTATGAGTTACGCCATGTCTTGAGTTTTAGCACATTAAAGATGGTGTATTATGCACTGGCTGAATCAATTTTGAATTATGGGTTGGTGGTTTGGGGTAGTGCCGGAGTGACGGTTTTAAACAAACTACAGGTTGCACAAAAATATATCATAAAAATTATGTTATTTAAAAATAAAAGGTTTCCTACTGAATTGCTTTTCAAAGAGAGTCAGTTATTAGATATTAGACAGTTACACCTTAAAGCAGTAGTTAGATTCATGTTAAAATTTTCCTACTATAAGGAAGCCATGGGCGTAACACAAGAAATGCAGCTCAAAACAATGTCGCACGCCAAAACCCCAAGCACATCATTTGCCAAAATCATATTTATTGTCTAGGTCCAAAAATCTTTAACTGCCTTCCTAATGATATTAAAGTAAAACCATATTCTAAGTGTAAAAAAGAGATAAGACAGTGGATACTCCAAAGCAATTATGTAATTAATTATATAGTTTAATTTTAAGTTTAATTTTAAATAATATATCACACAATTATTGTTCATATATATATATACTTATTTTACTATCTCCTATCGAATTATTGTTACCACATTTCTACTACTTTAGTACAAAAATCTGTTATACTTAGCTTAAATAAGAATATATTTTTTGTTATTTAAAAAAAAAATAAAAAAAAAACCTCAAAGATACATGTATAAGAAAAAGAGTGCACACACAGTACTTTAAGTACAATCGTGCACTAGAGTAGAAGTTTTCATTTTAAATATTATTTAGAGGGTGACCTCAATTTAGGAATTAAGTAATAGAGTGATTTATTTTTCTCTTGTTCCTATAATTAATTATATTACTGTTTAATATAAATGTAAACTACTACATAAATAAATAAATAAAATAAATAAATAAACTTTTAGTGTGAAAAAGGAAGATATTCTTGTGCCAAATTATTGCTGTAAAATTGTTAACGTTAATTTTAATAAAACTAAATGGTTGATTGGTGGTTTTTACCATTCACCCAGTTCCAGTGATGCGGTCTTTATAGATAAAATTGAAGAATGATGCAAACATTTCTTATCGGGATTATACCAGAATAAGTATGGACAGTTCGATACTAATCGATTATGTTTTATCGAATCAAAATATTTCTGTAGTGTTCATCATTTTCCTAAAATAACAGATCACAGAAAAATGTGGATTATGTGAATGAATTAAATGTAGATAAATTTAGAATTAATATCATGTGACTGGTTATTTGACTCAAATAATGTAAATGAAATTTTTAGTCAACTGGAAAGTAATTGTAGTAGAGTTTTAAACAGTGTTGCACCTATTACAGAGATACAAATAAATAAAATCATGTTCCAAGGTATGATAAGGAGGTAAAAGTACAAGCCAGAGAGAGGGATAAAGTGTACAAAAAGTTTCAAAAATGTATTGTGGAATGAATACAAAAATAAAAGAAATATAGCTGTTAATTCATTGAAGTGCAAGAAAAAAGAGTTTTATGAACATAAAATAGATGAACATAAAAATGATTCTAAGGAAATGTGGAAAACGTCTTTACAGTTAACTATATCTAAATGGAAGCAAGTACTTGATGAAAATAAATATATAATAGCAGTTTTTCTAGATTTTAAACGAGCTTTTGAGAAAATAGATCGTAAAATTTTGATTAATAAATTGAAATATTATGGTTTTGCAGGACGAGCCCTGACCTGGTTTGACCAGTATATGACTGATAGATTACAATATGTAAAGCTAGATAAATGCTAAAAAATAACTTAGGAGTACCGCAAGGAAGTATATTAGGGCCGCTTCTATTTATCATATATTTAAATGATATTAATTATATTGAGTGACTTTATTAATCCATTTGCAGATGATACACTGGTAGCATGTTATGGGTATAACCTTAAGGAAATTTTAAATAAACTGAATAATATATTGAGAGTATTAACCCAGTTTTTAAATAAAAATAAACTTAATACTAAAAAAACGAAAGCAATGATTTTGGGAAGTAAATATAAATTAAATCAAATAAACTATAATAGGTACAACATTAGAATTGAAAACGAAAATGTTGAATGGGTTAATGAATTTAAAAGCTATTTTTCTTCTCAAGGATTGCTTCAAATCTCTCCCTTTTTTCTAGATTAACAGTGTATAAAACTATTATACAACCGCATTTTGACTACTGCGGATCGTAACTTTATAAATTGGATAATAGCTGTTTACAAAGACTACAAAAATTGCAAAATAGAGGAATGAGAATAATCCTTCGATGTAACAGATACACACCAATAAATGGTATGCTGACCACTTTAAGTTGGATTTCAGTCAGACAAAGATTTTATTATTTAGCAATGACTTTTGTTTATAAAGCAAAAAATAAAAAACTTCTTAAGTACTTCAATGATTTTATCATCTACAATAATGAAATACATAACTACAATACAAGATCTGTTAATAATTTTTATATTCCACAAACAAGACTAGCTATAGCAACAAAATCTATTTTTATATGTGGATTATGTGAATTTAATGCTTTGCCTAGTGAAATTAAAACGAGTACCTCACTACCTCAGTTTAAAAAATGTTTAATACAATTTATTTCCAGTCTGTAAATTAAATTAACTAAATTAACTTTGTAATATTTACTTTATGTTTACTTAAATATGTATTTATTTTAACTTTAGTACTAAACGTCTTACTTTTATTAGTGATTTTATTACTAATTCTATCAAGATTTTTTTAAATTTTATTTTATTTATTCAACTGAATTTGTGCAGACTGACGATAATATGTAATATTTTTAAATAAACTACTATGTATTAGGACTTCCTATATTAAATAAAGATTCTTCTATTCTTCTAAAAAATTTAGATTTGGATAATTTGGCTCTGAACCAATAATATTGACAATATTAATTATTTAACTTTTTTATTTGAGTAAAACTAAATAACTAAATATTTGAACCAGTAAAAATTACCTAAGTAGGGTCTTCAGAAACATTTTAATTTCCTTTTAAACTTTTATATTTTAGGAGGAAATCCTCAAAGAAATAATATGCAACCACCTATAAATAAAGTGGACCAGGCACCAAAAGTTAATACTATACAGGTTAGTAAATAAAACAAATTTTTTAGCTTCTTTATTGATGCGGACATGTTTTAGAATACTTCTACAATAAATGTATATAAGTTAAATATAATATATTGCTACGCACTAATAGTAACACATTAACTACAAAATTACCATATACAGGGTGGCTCACGCTCAACGGCACGGAGCTTTATGGGAAAACGACCAAAGATATAAAAAATTCGTTTGGGAGGAATACGTAGGTTACAGACGGCTACAATTTAAAATTTGTTAGATGTATACAGGATGTCCCACATAAGAGAAAATATACAAAGTTATATTATTTTTAATGGAACACCCTGTTTTTATTTTAGAATTAAAAACTACATCAAAAATAATGTCAGTTAACTAAAGGTTCCCTATTACTATTATTATTAGTTTTCGATTTATTTGAATTTTTAAGGAAAAAAAGTCTCCCAGAAATTAATTGTTTACTCTTGTTTGAATAATTTTTAATGAACTAATTTGTTTTTCTTATGTGGGACATCCTGTATACATCTAACACATTTTAAATTGTAGCCGTCTGTAACCTACGTATTCCTCCCAAAGAATTTTTTATATCTTTGGTCGTTTTCCCATAAAGCTCCGTCCCGTTGAGCGTGAGCCACCCTGTATATATAATCCACATGGAAGGGTCCATATTAATATTCTGAAACTAAAACTGTACAATGTAGTTTACTTATTAGTTGTATACTGCCGTGTTAATTCAAATGGCCGTATCTGTTTTTATATGTACGTGAGAAAAATCGATTTTTCAAGAAAACTCACGCCCAAATTTCTAAGCGTTAAATCTTGGATTTTATAGAACATGTATCCATGAAAATTATAGAGATAAACAAAAAATTCATTGTTGTCAGGCGTAGTGGTCGTATCTTTATTTCAAGGAAAATTGCAGTTACGACCATTTGAATTAACACGGCAGCATAGTGTTTTCTTGTTATTATTGTGAAAAATTGACAAAAGTTTTATAAAAGATAATTTAAAAAAAAATTTACCTACAGTAGATGATTATTATTATAAAATAAGTTATTCTATTTAATAAATGTTAACGAATTTTGAGAATATATTTTTTATTGGTGTTATTTCTTTAGGTAATGACGGCTGATCGAAGGGAGTATAGCAGAAAACCAGGATTTCCTGATCTATCAGTTCCCCCACCAGCTGCTTTTGAACAATACCAACCGGAATATGGCTTTAATCCAGAACCTGAGCCTTTCTATGGAGGTGGTTATGAACCTACTCAAGATTCCCAATGGGGTAATTATTTTATTTTTATATATCCCAACCTACTTATTAATGCTATCAATTAACTATAATGAATTGAATATATCCTAAAATATATTTAACATTTTATTTTCTGTATTTTATAGGTACCGAACCTCCACCAGGTTGGGCCCCTTCAGAATTGAAGACATTAACAGGTCCCCCACCAATGGGACCGCCACCAATGCATATGGGCCCTCCTCCTATGATGGGAATGAGATCTCCAAGCAGTAGACGTGATACTAGTCCTCATAAAGACAGAGATCGAGATAAGGAGTCTAGGAGTCGATCTGAGAAGCCTAGAGATAGAGAAAGAGAAAGGTAGTTATTTTTTTTGTGAACATTATGGTGCTTAAGTAAGATACATTGTGCACAGTCTAAATTTGAAATATTTATAATAGTAAAATGCACAAGAGTATTTACTTTAAATGAGCTATTTTGCTGGGTAATTATGAAAGGTATTCAAAACACGAGCATTTAGCATATGGTCCACCAAATGATCAGTTCCAAAAATGGGGGTATCTAGAGACCTCTCAGCGACGTTATTAATCTGCAGGACTTTGACAAGATGAAAGACTGACTGACCCCAGACACCTCTTGGTGACTAAGAGACTGGATGTCCTCAGACAACTCTTGGCGACTAAGAGGCTGTCTGTCCTCAGACACCTCTTGGTGACTCAGAGACTGGCTGAGAGGTTTTGACCTAGTGAGGGGCAACCCACCCACCATACCTTACAGATAGAGAAGAGGCTCAGTTTTGGTTCTTTATTTTACGTGATTTCGCTAAGAATGGATTACGTGTTTGCTGGATTAAAGAATAATAGTTTACAATAGTAGATTCGGTTTTCTAACAAAATCTATGGTCCCAAATAATAAATAAAAGTTCATTTTCATACACGTGTATCAGCATATCCAATCAGCTCTGACTGAAACTAATAAGTTTCCTAGGGGTGTTATCACTTAAGTCAAGTTTGCACCAAACAAACCAATATGTAAGAACTATTACGTCTATTTTTTATTCCGCTAAATGATAAAACTCAAAATTGGACGTTTCGTGTAATAACTATTTTAATAATTATTTATTAAAAAGGTTCACAGTAGAGACAAGACATTTCTAAAAAGTCAAACTTTCTGACTCGATTTAGTAAAATGATTAATTTAATCGAAGAAAACACCAATAAATACCGTTAACAGTAAAAAATATATATGGGGTAACTATACAATTTTTTTAATAAATTAGAAAATAGAGTATATGTATAAGACCTACCTTTGATACTGAAGGATTGGGCAGACAATATGAAAAAAAAATGACATCGACTTAAAGAATGTACAGTCAACACTTTTTGGAATGTACAGTCAAGACTTTATGGACAGTAACTAATAAGTTACTTTTTATTAAATAAATGGGTTAACATATGCCAAAAATTTTATGACCGAATATCCCTCGGCCAGTGATAAATACTCATCATTGTTTTTCAAATACCTTAAGCACGTTTCTTAAGTTACCAAGCAACGTGCTTTCGGTAAGTGAAAAAAAAAAATTATTTCAAATTATCTCTGTCCTTGGGATATTACTACTGAAAATCTCTTCATATTTCTTTTATGCTTATTAAAAATTACTATTTGTTTTATGTAAACATTATATTTTGTTATATTTAGATCTCATAGACGGGAAAGGTCTAGGAGCAGATCTAGAAGACACAGATCCAGATCTCGCAGTCCAAGTCATAGGTCTCACAGAAAAAAGAAGTCCAAAAGACATGATGATAGTGAATAATATCCAGAGTCGTCTGTTTAATGATAAGATAAATTGTTTTTGATGTAGGGTTAAATAATGTCATCATGATTTTTTTTTGTATTTTCATTGCATACATACATTTTTTTCTCAAATTGGAATTTGAAGAGGTATTAAACATTACCTAAATAAATAATTGTTTTATTAAAATATTCCTTTTTTTTTAATAATGTGCATGACTTTTTATATGAAAATGAAATTATCATCTTATAGTAGACTTTAAAAGAGCTTTTGAAACCATTGACTCCTCAAAAAAATCAAATACGGATTCACAGTTTCACTCTTGGTCTCAAGGCTATCTTCTAAACAGACATCAGAAGACTAGAATAAATAATGTATTTTACAGTGAATTTCCTTTATCCTGGGGTATATTGGATTGGAAGGCAATGTTTTGAGGCTACTTTTATTCATTTTTATTTTATCTATCTGAGGTCAGTATCATTTTCATGTGGATGGTGGGTTTGTGTTTTAATATACAGGGTGTTTATTGAGTGCATGATACTTAAGGTGTGGATCCTTGGATGATTTTAAGAACAGTTAATATCAAGTTATATTTTTTCATCATAATTTTCTTATCACTCCAGATATTTTTATGAAATTTTGTACACACCTTTTAATCACTAAATAGCATTTTTTGACGTTAAAGATTTTTTAAAATTTTTACCAGTGACGTTCGTACGGGGTTTGAACTGAATATTTATAAGAAAAAAATGGTAGGCCACTGCTTTTTCTAAATCCAACATTATTTTTGAAATCCTCATTTATTTTGCAGCAAATTTGGCCCATGGACTTAACTTTCGTACGACGCACCGTTTTTAAAAACCAAAAAAATGTTTTTCTTTAATTCATTGAAACAGTTTTTGTAATTTTGTTGAAATTTGGTAAGTTTCCACTATCCTTGGAAACACTTTTTTTGGGGCAAAATTTAAATTTTTAACTTCTACCAGTGAAGTCCACATAGGCTGATATTGAATGTTAGGACAGAAAAAACGGCACGCCGGTAATTTTTTAAATTCAATTTTAAAAATAGAGATTCATTTAGTAAAACGATAAATTCAAAAACTTAAATCTAAAGCGTAATGACAAGAAAAGACATACAAAATAAAGAAGCTAAATTATTTACAGTAATTGTTGGAAGTGTCTTCCACCTACATGTATTCAAGCATCTTCTTCCCATAGTCTGACATTTTCAGAGATTCCTGAAGTGTTTCTTATTTATTAACACACCACCCAACAGTAATAACCATTTAACAGGTGAGAAAGACAATATAAAAAGAAACATTAATTACAAAAACTAAATATATATATTGTTAATAGCAATCCAAGTGTCAATTTTGATAAGGGAAATTCTCAGATAACGAAATTTAGTATTATTATGTCAAAATTGAAGTAAGCAAAGCTGGACGATTTAGAGTCTAGAACAATTTTATTGTGAAATTATCAAGGATGTTGTTGTTTTGATTTTAAGATGATAGATTGTCATAAGAGTTAGAAGATTGTCATTAATTTTTAAGAAATGTCACGATTGGGAATTAATTGGAAAGTTAAAATAAAAAAAGCACATAGGTAAAGATATTATAGCATACAGGTAGAGACAAAGACAGGCAAAGGACACCAAGCAGCGACAGGACAAAAGCAACATCATTAGCAGGACGAATACAACATCAGAAGCAGAGCAGCCAGGGCAGAGAAACAGAAGATTTTTTTTTAATTCAATTGATTTTTAATTATTCTTTTTTTTATACAAATTTATACATTTTCTAGATTTTGAACCCGCCCAGTTTTGAGATTTGGTAGTTTTAGAATATTTTTGGAAATCCATATACTGGGTGTTTCCATATCAATATATCCATAAAAAACCTGTAGCTGTATGCTTAACATGAAAAAATGGATATTAACATTGGACAGCTATTATGTGATAATACTATACTAATTGACAACAAATACTAACATCTAAACTAAGATTGCATAATTAACTAAAATTCAGTAATACACATAAGTAACATTTTATTAATGTCGCGCAAAAGCCTACCCTGTCCTTTGTTTACTCCTTGCCCGCGGTATGAAGTATAGCGCTGGCAAATAGAGACAAACGCACCGCTTCTCAAAACAACCAGAAAAAGTGGTACGTGGCCCTTGATTCATAGAGATGGAACGTCTAGAAACTACTAGTACAGAGTTGGCTTTGTATAAATAGCGCGAGTTCGTCGACGGACGGGCAGGTTGAGTTTAAGTGTTGGACATATAAGATAAATTGTAATAAATAAATTAGACATTTAAGTTAGAATAGTGCCTAAGAATTATATAAATTAATTATAGTCTAAGATCCGAAGTAAGGTCGACCTTCACCCATCTGTTTAATGGATGAAAGTTTCTTTTTATTACATAAAATATATTTATAAATATACCGCAAATGGGTTGTCTAAGAAAATACGGTCCAGGCTATGTTTTTTCTTAAAGTAAAAAAAACGACACCCTGTAAAGTATTCCCTAGATGCTTCAACTATGCCCAAACTTTAATCAGCTCACCGCAGGATGGATTAAAGCTTAAGTTTAAAATTTGATGTTTTTCTCTTTATCCGTTTTTGAGTTGTCTTCAAAATTCTAAATTTTCACTTTTCCTCAAATATCTCGAATTAGGTCCATTTTAGGAAAATCATGTATAGGAATAAAATAATAGATAATGACCTCATAAACATTTTTATAATGATTTTTATACTTTCCTTATCTGTACACAGAAAGGAAAGTAAAAAATAGCCGTGACCGTATTTTCTTAGGCAACCCATTTGCGGTATATTTAAAAACATTGTGTTTAATAAAAAATAAGTTTTATCCATTAAACAGATGGGTGAAGGTCGACCCTACTTACGGATCCTGGACTATTAGTACAGTCAAATGCTCATACCTACTTGGGACGTCGGCCCTACTTGGGACAAAATGTTTGTATTTTTAGTGCTTAATGAAATGGCAACGTTGCATTCGAGATGCGCGAAATTACTCGACAATCAATCATATTTAGTATTTACTTTGGCGCTGCAGAGAGTGAACGTGCCGTGGTCAATGAAACTAAGTTTTTTTGGTAGTGTAAGTTAACCTTGAATTTTTTATCCGATTTTATGCGTTTAGGACTAGCTGTAGTTCCAAACTCAGAAGAGCTGCTGAGTCTCTTTCTTTATATGTGATAATAGGCTATTCATATACCTCTATTTTACATATTGTTTCACGTTTCTGAATAAGCATGTTTTCCTGTAAAAAAAATTAAAGAAAAAATGTGCACCGTGTCTAAACTTGGGACAGGTGTCCCAAGTTAGGATACTGTTTAAAATTGGCGGGAGTTTTGTTAAAATAGTTTTCTTTTCTTTTGTATTAGGTTGGAAATACGATAATCCCCCAGAATAAATACACGAAAGTTACCAAAAAGAAAATATGATTTTTCCAAGGAACTGCTCAATGAAGCTTTGCATGATATTAAAACCAAAAAATTTCTTTGCGAAAAGCACAAGAGAAATATGTCATACCTAAAAGAACACTCAATCGAAAACTTAATTCAAAACAGACAAGAAAATATGGAAGATCCCTGCCATACTTCCGGAAAAAGAAGCTCATATCGTTGAATGTTTGGCTTTAACGGCAAAATGGGGATTTTCTTTAACGAAATCAGACCTTTTGAGTTATAGTTAAGAAAGGCTTGGATTTCAAAGGTATCACAGAATATCGCTTCATTGAAAACAGATTTGGAAAAATAGACCAAATGTTTCCTGGTCCGCCAACAAGAATCACTGAAGACTCGCTTTAGTCATAATATTAAACGCGCTAGAGCGGGAGTAACACCAGAAATTATTAAAGAGTATTTTAATGAGACCAGTATGCAAGACAATCCAGGAAAAACAAAAGTTATAGTGCACCGTGACTGTAAACGCCCAGAACAAATAAAGGGCTCATCCGAATCTGCATACTCTGTAATGTTTGCAGGATCAGCTAGTGGTCACTGTATTCCCGTTCATATTGTGTATAAATCTGTATCAAACTAGTACAACTCCAGGATGGAGGGTGGGCCGAAAGGTGCCAGATACAATCGGACAAAGTCTGGATGGTTTGAAGGACCATTATTTGAAGATTGGTTCATTGCAATTGCCCTGCTTTATTTTAAAGAATTGGGAGAAGGTCCTAAGGCCATTATCGGGGATAACCTAGCAAGCCACGTGTCTATTCGAGTTCTTGACCTATGCATTGAAAACAACATAAAGTTTTTACTATTACCGCCAAACAGCACTCATTTGTGTCAGCCACTTGATCTGACCTACTTCAGTCCCCTTAAAACAGCGTGGAGAAAACTATTTCAAGATTATAAGAATAAATACTGCGGACCAATCCCTAAAGATGTGTTCCCTCGAAAATTAAAACAAACCTTCAATATTCTGAAGGCTATAGTTCTTCTAAAAACCTAAAGGCTGGTTTTGCGGCTAGTGGTATATATCCATTAGAAGCTAATCAAGTTTTAAAAGGTCTACCTATAAAAAGTAATCAAGATGCCACCTCCAACGTTTGGCAAACAGTTTTGAAGATTTTCTTTAAACGTCACATCAAACCGAAACACAAACTACGAGAAAAAGAAAGAAAGCCTTCACTATCCCCGGGAAAAACCTGTTTGAACCTAGTACTATAGAAGTTATTAAAAACAAAATCTTAGAAAGGACAAAGTAAGTCATTTTGGAGCTGCCATTAAATGACGAAGATATTCCAGGAACATCCGGCTTATCCAACAAGAAATCCAAAGGTAAACAACCGATCCCAAAAAAAGGGAAAAACTGAATATTTTGACCTTCTCGAATCCAGTGAAGATGATGAGCAAATATCACTGCATGACACTGACTCAGATATGGAACCCGAAGATTTTTTGGATTTAAATAGACCCTAATACTTCTACAGATGTGATAAACGAACCAAAGATGTGATAAAAGAAACTTCTATGGAAGATGTGATACAAGAAATTTTCACAGAACTAGAAGTAGGAGACTTCGTTATAGTCAATTTAAAATACAATATAGGAACAAAACAACAAACGACCAAAACATTTGTGGCAAAAGTTGTAAAGACTGACGATAATAACAATAGAATTTTATTAGACTTTATGAGAAACTATAAAGAATCTAAAAGCTCTTTTATTTTTCCAAATATTGAAGATCG